CCATCCATCCATCCATCCATCCATCCATCCATCCATCCATCCATCCATCCATCCATCAATTTGACTCATTTGTCTGAATTATTCTTAAATTGTTGCCCGTACGGTAAAGTATGGTACTCCCTTAAAAATGTCTTCCATTTTTCCTCTCTTTCTCATGAATTTCTACATTTATTCAACACTAGATAAATTTGATCTCATGCTTAAGCTTATTATCACGTTTGGTGGCAAAACTTGCACCATTAATAATAGAGTGGCCAACCTCTTTAATTTATAAATCTCCAAACATCAAGTTAGCTTCTTTAATTGTTGGAGGTGTTGTTGATCAGGAGAGAGGTTATTTAATCCACGGATAACTTCTGCTTTGTTTAGTCTAGTATATAAGACAGGAGGGCTGCAGCTTTAAGAGCCGGATCTATCTACAAGATGAAAAAAAACAACAGCGAAGTTTGATCCTTTGTAGTTTGCATGCAGATGTAAATGAAGCAGAGTAGATCTACTATCTACTACGCTTTGCATCTTTTTCCCCCTGGAATTATACATCCTATTTAGACCTAATGATAAACATTTATTAATTTAGATGTTTCCAATCCCTGAATAACTTTGGAATTAATTTATAGCTTTCATTTGTTATTTTTAGAAAATACATACTCCTGTTTTTCAGAGTAAAACTCTGAGACCTCAGCAGTACGCCAGAGATCTCAGATGACATGCGCAACTGCAATCATCAGAATTCTAACTGGTGATCATTTGGAAATTGTTTGAATTGTTTGAAATTGTAGATCTTTTAATTTTGCATTGAGTTTATGAGGGTGATCAACCATATTAAGGTTTAGGGTTTAATTCAGAACCTCATGGAGATTCAAAACAAAATAAAATGTAACTTTTAGAGGTGAATCTGCTGCTGTGCTTCTACAACTCAATCTAAAGGTCCAGAACTAATAGCCAGTATTTATCTTAAGGATTTTCTGATAAAACAAAAATGGGTTTTCTCAAGTTCCCTATGTTGTAAAGAAGTGAAGCAGCTTCAAACTGTCATGTTTTACAGTAATTTCTACACTCATGCAGGATCCTATGCTGGAAGTACAGGTTAAAATAACAAAAGTGTTTATTTATACAGGTCAATAATAGAAATTCTTGAGAGAAGATTCTGTTTGTGGTTGGCAGTGTGAGGAATTGAGAAGGAGGAGCCATATCTAGCCAACAGTAGACAAGGAAGTGAATACTGCAGGAGGAGGATTCTAGAGTGGTTTTCCGTCTGGAGGTGGATGGAAAAAGTTGAGGGAGAAACAGAGATCCCAGTGATATGTGGGGATCTCCGGTAAGGATTTGTCTTCCTGCAAAAGTTTTGTTGGGGTGGAGCATGAGGGGCTGGAGATCCTTAGAGTGCTGGAGAGAGCAGACAGGCGGATGATCGCTGGGGCTGACAGAGCTACAGAGGACGACAGTGATGCAGGAAGTGGTGGCCCAGTGGTTAGAGAGCAGGGGATTTACCTCCTCGAGATGCAGCTTGAGTGCTTCAAACCTCACACTCTCAGTCATGGGTTAACCCCGCAGAGCTCCCTGAAGAGCTGCAAGCTGCTTACTGCTACCTAAGGCATTGGTTAGATCATAATGGTTGTGATTACAATTTCAAATATAAAAAAATATTCAGTTTGATTTGGTAGAAGTATTAATAGAGGTCTGTCTCAGGGGGCTAGACCATTTGTGACACACTTGCCTTGGGTTCTCTCTGGATACTCCAACTTCCTGCCTAATCTAAAATGACTTTTAGGTTAATTGGTGACTCTAAATTGCGCTTAGGTGTACGTGTGGATGAATTGGGGAAAATACTGGATACCTTTAAGATCATGATACCCTGGAAAACATAACCTGAAGATAACTGTTAACGCTGAATGGGAAAATACAACTACAGCAAAGACTAAAGAATGATGAATAGGAGATAACAGAAAAGCCACCAAAACGGAATAGTTAAACTAACAAGTAATTAAAAAATTATATAAATTTATAACAGCAAGCATGAGATAACATAAATCAAAGCCCAACAGAACCAAACACCAAAAACCCAGAGCAGCAGATCTTGACAGTTTAGAGCCCTACGGTCTGTCTTTCTGATCTTTTCTTGAACTAATTTGGGGTTGGACATGATGTTTTCATTTTTGAGATATTTCATCCTACCTCCCTTGAGGGTAAGGTCCTTTTAAATGGTTTCTTTATTCTAACAGGTTTGTGTATAATCAAGCATGTGCCGAATGCATATTTTAAGCTAGGGGGACTTTTTTCCTTTTAATAAATTAAATCAAAAACTGATTTATACCTAAATAAGATTTAAATTAGTATACTTTAAACTTGCAAATTAAAACTGAATTTTATATTTACTCTTTAATAATATCTTTTGTTCAGGATTTGCAAAATGTAAATTACGGAAAAAAATCTGTAAGTGCCGAAATAAGTTTTCTCTACACTATTTTAGAATGCAAAATGAAAACATTTTAGAGATAAGCGCCCCTCTTATCTAGTCTATTTTGGGCATACACACAGAGGGAAGGCATGTGTCGCCCCAACAGTTCGCTTAATTCTAAAAACTGAAACACCCAGCTGCTGCTTCAGACATTCTGTCCAAACAATCTGACACAGACATTTGTGAAACAGGACGATGAAAAGCACCCCATAGCAGTCATGTGTAGAAAAAAAAGCTTGCTTGTAATTACCTCAATAACTTCACAGTCTTGAACCCCTGACAACGAGCTAAGCAACAGCAGCCTCCTCGGATGGGCACTGGGTGTCAGGAGATAAAGTTACGTCTGATTCGTCTCACATTTTGAACTCAAATCTGCAAGGTGGAGACAGACCACTCAGGTTCTGTCATGCCTTTATTCCCACCGCCTGCTTCTTTGCCACAGGTCATGTGTTTTTATACAGGTTTTGCCACATGTGCACTGTTTTCTTATAACCAAACATGCTTAGAAAATCTGAGTGTACATGCATTGTGTATATAATATGATCTCTGTACATAGCAGAAGAACAAATAGTGTTTTCAAACATTCCCCTTAAACTTTTTTATATTATGCCGCTTCAACCTCAAAGTTTAGCGTGTTTAGTTGATATTTTATGTGAAAAACCAGCAAATCACACTCTGGAGATTATTCTTATTCAGTCTCCTTTACTCTGTCTCCCCAAAATAAAATACAGTGAAACAATCAGAAGTCATCAATTTGGTAAATGTAGTGTATGTGTACCTAAATGTTGGTGTATATGTATGCAGATGTTCTTCGAAGCCCCCATAGGTATAGTGCAAAGCATAAACAGCCTCATGAAGACCATAAGTCTGCAAAAGGGGGGGTTTGCCTTCCAAGAAAGATCTCTAAACCTACAGCCAGAGCTGAATTTTTACTATTTCTATAAATTGGATTTATACTGTGTAAATGCATTTTTTCTCTTTTAACAAATAAATACAGATAGAAACTGAATGAATATAATGGCTGTGTAGCTAAAGCTAGGCTTGGTGTTTGTCTGCAGGAAGCAACTATATACCAACGCTTTTTAAAATGTTGGTCCTTTTCATAACAAGCTTTGTCTTCTTTTGGTTGTTAGAAATAAGATAAACTAACTAAAATAAATGCAGTTTTATTGAAATGAATTCCTTTAATCTGAACTAAACGGAACTGAATTGAACTGAAAACAAGGTGGCAGAGCTGTTAGCTCTGTTTCATTCAAACCTCAGGTTCTCAACATGGAGTTTTTATGCTTTCCAG